CCATAATTTAAGAGGCCATTTTCCTATTGATGGATATTTAGGTTGTTTCTAGTTATTTGTTTTTACATACCATCATGCCTTAAACACCCTTCTGTTGACTCGTCCTCTTGTTGACGTTCCGCGGGCTCCTTCCGCATCCTTTGCACCCTCTTGGGCCAATGCCTAACCCTTCTGCAAGGGTGCTACAGGATACCAGCTGACCAGATGGTTACAAATTCCTGCTGTCTGTCCCAGACAGCCCGGAAAAGTGAACAAAAAGCCGTAATTCTTCTTGTAGCTTCTCCAGTCTCCAGCCAATCAGCTTCAAAAGCACAAGAAGCTATTAGCTACAAATGCCTGCCCCGAGGGAGCTAGGGACTTCTCCGGGGTCCCGCATGTGCAGCTAGGCTCAAGGTTTAGCTTGTAGTGACCTTTTCCTCATTTTAATAGTAAAAAACACACCCCTAGGTAGTTTTATATGCTAATGATACCTGTGATGCATGTTAGAGCATGTAGACGCTGACTGCATGTGCCAACTGCAGGCCTGTCTTTGCATGTTTGACCGCAGCAGTATTTTATGAATATGCATGTACAGCTCCCATAAAGGCAATTGCCCTTAAGGTACTAGGGGCTGCCTCTCTCTTTTAGCAGCCTGCTTTGCCTCTCAGAGTGTACTTTTGAAGCAGTCACACTGTCTGGGGTATATACCCTGGGGTTCGTCGTCTGACACCAGGAAAATTTAGGTCACGGACACCCGAGGAGTTTAGGAACTGAGGTTTAATGGGCAGAAGAGAAGAGAAAGAGAAACAGCTCTCTCCGGAGAGAGAGAGGTCTCTGAGTGGAAAAGACTGGCTGGTAGTGATGCACTGCGTTTTATAGTCCAGCTTGAGGAGGTGGTGTCTGATTTACATAGGGCTCACAGATTGGTTCAATCAGGTGTGACATTTACATAGCAGGGAAGGCTGGTTGCCCCACACTAATCTTATTATGCAAATAAATTATCCTTCGTGGGCTATCTTATCTGCTCCTCACTGTACACGTGGTTGGCAGAGAAGAGATGATGAAGCCGCCATCTTGAACTTGTCTAGTCCCTAGTTCCCTGTGGCATTTACCCGTGCAAGCTCCCAGCTTGTTTGTCTATGTCTGCAGCTCCACTTTACAGGCTACTCTTTGTTAGAAAATGATTTGGGGCTGCTTTTCACTAAAAAGAAAAGCCTTACCGAGGACTCCCATGCTCTTACTATCTGCCTAAGTGATTTCTTCTTAACTCCTGTATCACTTTTGCTTTGCAATAAACTTCTTTGCCTACTCTTTGGAGTACTTTGGACTCACTCTCAAATTCTTTTACGTGGCGAAGTCAAGAACCTGAACCGGCCAACTGACAACACTTGGACATACCTTCTAGTGCACGTGCATGTAATTTGCTTTAGGACTATTTGCGTTTCAGAGTGTACTTTTGAAGGAGCTACATTGTCTGGGGTATATACCCTGGGGTTCATCGTCTTGCACCAGGAAAATTTAGGACACAGATAGACATGAGGAGTTTAGGAGGAGATGTAATATTTCTATTTTGAGGACAGATCATGAGATGTAGACACTAGACATTTAAAATGTTACCGGATACAGGCCAGGCACAGTGGCTCACGCCTGTAATCCCAGCGCTGTGAGTGGCTGAGGCAGGCGGATCACTTGAGGTCAGGAGTTCGAGACCAGACTGGCCAACATGGTGAAACCTTGCCTCTACTAAAAAAAAGAAAAAATTAGCTGGGCATGGTGGGATGTGCCTGTATTCCCAGCTGCTCTGGAGGCTGGAGGAGGAGAATCTCTTCAACCCAGGAGGCAGAGGTTGCAGTAAGCCGAGATCATGCCACTGCACTCCAGCCTGGGCAACAGAACAAGACTCCATCTCAAAAAAACAAAACAAAAAACCAACAAACAAAAACAAAGTTACCAGATACAGTCCAAATTGCCCTCCAAAGTGGTTAGATAAATTTACCTCCCAACAGCAGTGCACGAGAGTTCTCATTTTCCCATGCCCTTGATGGCATGTTCTTGAAAGTGCTAAAGCTGCATTTCTTCACTAAAATTCTGTTAGTCACACTTTTTACTAATTTATACTTTCATCCAATAAGGTTTGATTATTATTATTATTATTATTTTTGAGGCAGGGTCTTGCTCTCTCACCTAGGCTGGAGTGCAGTGGCACACTCACACCTCACTGCAGCCTCAAACTCCCAGGCTCAAGTGATCCTCCAGCTTCAGCCTCCCGAGTAGCTGGGACTACAGGCATGGATCACCATGTCCAGCTAATTAAAATTTTTTTGGTAGAGATGGGGAATCTCACTTTGTTGCCCAGGCAGATTTTGAACTCCTGGGCTCAAGCAATAGCCCCACTTCGGCCTCCCAAAGTCCTGGGATTACAGACATGAGCCACTGTGTGGGCCAAAGATTCTTTTAATTAACTCTAGTGAAGTGGGCAGAGCATTCATTTTATTTACAAGTACTATACTCCTTCCCTTTGGCCTTTAAATATAATTTATAGGCAGCATTGATTTGCACTTAGGGACACTGTCTAACACAGGTCTCTGCTGAGAGAAGAGAAATTAGTCCATTCAAAATCTGTGTGTGGGCTAAAGGCTAAGGGCTTATGCAAGAAAAGGTTTTTTTTTGGTTTGTTTTTTGTTTGTTTGTTTGAGACGGAGTTTCATCTTGTTGCCCAGATTGGAGTGCAATGGCGCAATCTTGGCTCACTGCAACCTCCGCCTCCCGGGTTCAAGCAATTCTCCTGCCTCAGCCTCCCCAGTAGCTGGGATTACAGGCTGGCCTCGAACTCCTCACCTCAGGTGATCCGCCCGCCTCTGCCTCCCAAAGTGTTGGGATTACAAGCATTAGCCACCACGCCCAGCCGAAAAGATTTTTACAAGAAGGGCAAGTGTTCGCTTTTCTATCAATATGTTAGCAGTCTGTATTTCCACATGTTTGGTGGTAAGAAACCTTTCTTCCTTGGTTTCTAAAGTTTGGAAGTCTTTGCCCCTGAGTTCATGAGATTGCCAGAGAAATGATTCAAACAACTTCATTAAATACGTACTTACTTCATGCCTGGGGCTTTACGTTTTTATTTAACCTTTACAACTCTCTTTTCCATTCTTATTGTCATCAGAAAAATGCAAATCAAAACCACAATGAAATACCATCTCATGCCAGTTAGAATGGCTTTTGTTAAAAAGAAAAAATAGCAGATGTTGCTGAGGCTGTGGGGAAAAGGGTAACATTTTTACACTGTTGGTGGGAATGTAAATTAGTTCAGCCACTGTGGAGAGCAGTTTGGAGGTTTCTCAAAGAACTAAAAGTTGAACTACCACTCGACCCAGCAATCTCATTACTGGGTATATACCCAAAGGAATATATATTGTTCTATCAAAAAGGCAGATGCACCCATATGTTCATTGCAGCACTATTCACAATAGCAAAGACATGGAATCAACCTAGGTACCCATCAACAGTGGATACTCGGCAGGCTGAAGCAGGAGAATGGTGTGAAACCAGGAGGCGGAGCTTGCAGTGAGTCGAGATCGTGCCGCTGCACTCCAGCCTGGGCGACAGAGCGAGACTGTCTCAAAAAAAAAAAAAGAAGAAAACGTGGTATCTATACACCATGGAACACTATGCAGCCGTAAAAAAGAACAAAATCCTGTCCTTTGCAGCAACATAGATACAGCTGGAAGCCCATTATCCTAAGTGAACTAACGCAGAAACAGAAAACCAAATACCGTATGTTCTTGTAAGTGGGAGCTAAGCATTGGATACACATGGACACAAAGATGGGAACAACAGATTTTGGGGAATGCAAGAGTCGAGAGGCAGTTGGGGGAAAGAGTTAAAAAACTACCTGTTATGTACTTTGCTCACTACCCGGGTGACAGATTCATCTGTAAAACAAACCTCAGCATCATGCAATATAGACAGGGTTTCACCATCTTGGCCAACTGGCCAAGCTGGTCTCGAACTCCTGACCTCAGGCAGTCCCCTGGCCTCGGCCTCCCAAAGTGTTGGGATTACAGGCATGAGCCACTGCGCCTGGCCTCGGTTTTTTTTTTTGTTTTTTTTTTTTGAGACGGAGTCTCGCTCTGTCGCCCAGGCTGGAGTGCAGTGGTGTGATCTCAGCTCACTGCAAGCTCCGCCTCCCGGGTTCACGCCATTCTCCTGCCTCAGCCTCCTGAGTAGCTGGGACTACGGGGGCCCGCCATCTCGCCCGGCTAATTTTTTTGTATAAAGTAGAGACGGGGTTTCACCGTGTTAGCCAGGATGGTCTCGATCTCCTTACCTCATGATCTGCCCGCCTCGGCCTCCCAAAGTGCTGGGATTACAGGCATGAGCCACAGCGCCCGGCTTGGCCTGTCTCAGCTTTAAAACCTAAAGTCCTGCATCCCAAGAAAACCTCTAGTCCAGGCAAACCTAGGTGGTCACTCTTGGATGGAGTTAGGATTTCCAGTGGTCTTGGACAGAAGGGCGACCTCTCCCTTGAGCTACGAAAGAAGGCGGAGAGATGAAGAGCAGGATTAAACAAACAAGTGTGCGGGCTTTGGAGCCAGGGCAAAGTTCTGCCTCTTAGCTGTGTGATCTTCTTGAAATTATTTAACCACTCAGATTCAGTTTCCTGTAACTTGCGGATAATTAAACAAGAATGAGCCGTGTGAAAGTGCCTATCCAACTGTAGTAGGCTCGCAACAAGAGTTTAAATCGTTTTTATTCATCCCCGGTTCTAACTGTTGCCGTTGCTCTGTGTTCCACTCTTCTATCATCTTTAATTTCTCTCCTTGACTGGTTTCAGCTTTGTTCTCTCTGGTCCCTGTCGGGTCGCTCCTGCCACTCACGTTGAGTACCATCCACCGCTAGAGGGCGGAATAGAACAAACCAAGATGGGTGCCCCTCTAGCTCTCTACGGCGTCTGCTCGCCGAGCCCCGCGAAGGAGGCGGGGATTCCGTCATGTGACCGGGGTGCCGGGCGCCGGCGCAGGCGCGGTTGCTGTGTCGTCGTCGCCGGGCTCCGTTGCCCGCGCTGTTTTGCCTTCTTGACGCTTGAGGCGGCCGCTGGGGGGTCCTGTGGCTTTCCCTCCTGCCGCTGGGGACTGCAGGCTAAGGCCATGTCCCGAAAGCAGGCGGCGAAGAGCCGGCCGGGCAGCGGCAGCCGGAAAGCCGAGGCCGAGCGCAAGCGGGACGAGCGGGCTGCTCGCCGGGCCCTGGCCAAGGAGCGGCGGAACCGGCCGGAGTCCGGCGGCGGCGGCTGCGAGGAGGAGTTCGTCAGCTTCGCCAACCAGCTGCAGGCCCTGGGGCTGAAGCTGCGGGAGGTGCCGGGGGACGGGTGAGGCGGGCCGGGAGCGAGGGAGGCGGCGCCGGGGGACGCGCCGGGCTCGGCCTGGCGACCGTCACCCGCTCGCGTCCATCCATTCATTCGGGCTGCCCGGGCGCCTCCCGCGAGCCAGCCACGCTCCGAGTGCTGGGCGTCCAGCTGCGAGCGAGGCGGACAAACCTCTCGCCCCGAGACGCTCGCGGGGATCCCAGAGGGTCCTAATCATGGCAGACGCCGCTCGCGAAATAGAAAGTGGGTCCTGAGACCGTATACGGGAGCAGAGTCACTGGGTTGTGGCCAGGAAGGGCTCTCTGAAAGGTGACATTTAAGCTGAGTTCTGAAGGAATGAGATGGAGCCAGGCATTGGAGAAACAGTCATCATGAGGATAAGACCGATCGAAGGAGTTTGAGTAAGCCCCGCTTGGTAGAACGCTTTGCCTCCTTTGAGTCCTTGGTGGTTGGGTGATGCCCCCATTTACATTTGTGAAATTAGGTCGCCTGTTTACTGAGCTGAAGGCAGCTTCTCTAATTCCTGCTTCCATGGGCCTCAGTTTCTCTGTAAGCAAAGGTGCTTACCCAAGCCTTCATGGGACTTAGACTGAATCCAGGTCCAGCTTTCTTTAGGGAATGTGGAGGGAGAGAGTGGGGAGGAGGAAGAAAATTACCTTCAAGAAAGAGGATATGCTCCGGGAACATGGATGGAAGAAGGAAAAGGGTCAGGAAGAGAGGAGAACTGTGAGCATCCCCATTGCAGGGGCAGGTAAAAGGTTATCTGGTTGTCAGCTGTGTCACTTTGGAAGACGGAGTGTTAATAACAGCCTGGCTTTTGTTTTTTTCCTCCCAGTATTTGAGTGCTCAGGTCCTGCAGAGGGAAGACTAAAATGAAATTAAAGACCATACGGAATTGCCTTAGTTCATTATTATTGTTGATTTGTAGAGACGGGGATTTTGCTATGTTGCCCAGGCTGGTCTCGAACTCCTGGCTTCCAGCGATCCTCCTGTCTCGGCCTCCCAAAGTGCGGAGATTACAGGCATGAGCTACCACCCCCAGCCAGGAATTGCTTTAGATATTAACTGCAGAAGAAGGTGTTTTAAAAAATTTCACATTACATTGCAGCTTATTGATCAAGACCGAACTGGTCCTATTTCCCTTTCCCACCGTTCCTATATATGCTCATTGCTTCAGGCAAAAAGAGTTCACCACACTTTGCTGCGTTGCTGTTTTTGCTTAAGATGCAGTTGGAACTTGATTACATTTATTCACCATCATCTGGCATAGTGCTTGGTACATGGAAGGCAGTCAGTACATTTTTGCTGAATGAAATATAAAAATAATAGAGGGAGACCAGCTAGCCTAAGCATAAGCACAAGACACTGTTATAGAAACAAAAATACCATTTTTATACAGTGGAATTGCTGTGGAACATGGGGGCTTTTCCTTGCAAATGATTGAATTGTTTGTGTCTGCTGTGCTGGATGTAGTATTCTCAATGTCAGGGTGCCCGGAAAACTGAAGTACTCAATAGAAGGTTACTTAGGAGGAGGAATCAGCACAAGGAGTTGTAAATTCTTGAGCTGGCTTTCATAAGGTTATGGGAAACTTTGGGGGTATTACTTCTCTCTATCCCCACACCCCCATACACACACAGCATACTTCTCAAGTTAATTCAGCACGCCTTAAGTAAGGTGCTGGGAATATGTTGATGACTAAGATAGTTAAGGACTTTATAGCCGAAGGTAGAAACATGTAACAATGGGTCTCAGCTTTTTTGATGTTAAGATCTCTTGGAATTCTTAAAAATTACTGAGAAACCCAAATAGCTTCTTTATATGGGTTATAGCTATGAGTATTTACTATATTAGAAAGTAAAACAAAGTTTTAAAACACAAGAATACACACACATTCCATTAGCGATTGGAGTGATAACTTCATGCATCAGGTAGCCTCTGGAAAACTCCACTGTGCACTTGCGAGAGAATGAGAATGAAAAAGGTACATTACATCTTAGTTTTGAACTCATGGATACTCTGAAAGCATATCAGAGACCTTCCCACATCTCCTGTCCCTTGGGCCACACTTTGAGAACAGATGATACAAATAATTAAAATATAGTTTGATATATTTTTATTAACAGTGACTGATTATAATGGTACTATTGAGAAGGAAAAGGCAGTAGCCTCTGAATTGGCCAGGAAGGCCTTCTCATTCATTCGGTAAATACTCATTGAATTCACTGCTAGCTGCCTCTCAGAGGGTGTCATAGTCTGGGTCATGAAGGACCAATAGGAGTACACCAAGAGAACATTCCCATCTGAGGAGGAGTGTATACAGAGGCACAAGGATGCGATGTTTTTGGGAGATCTACGGGTTGTTCAGGGTGACAGTAGTGTAGGGCACAAGGGTAGAAGTAACAGGCAGTGAAGCTCCAGAGACCAGCTGGACTGGAGTGCTCATGTCTCTCTTCCAAGGTCCCTGTTCTTCGGACAGTGTTGGATAAAATGATCATATTTCCTCTTGTGTGGGCTTCATGGAGCTAAGCACCTTGTGTTCACAAGTCCTTCACATGAGTTCCATTAGCTGGACCGTGGTTCAGCCCTCGTCAGTATCATAGTCCTTTCAAATGTGGTGATGACAGACTTTATCACTGCAAGGGATGGTGTTTCCTGTGTATGTGATGGGCTGGCAGGTGTCAACAGATTCTTCTCCCTGCCCCCCAGACAGAGTCTTGCTCTGTCACCCAGGCTGGAGTGCAGTGGCACGATCTCGGCTCATTGCAGTCTCCACCTCCTGGGTTCAAGTAATTCTCCTGCCTCGGCCTCCTGAGTAGCTGGGGTTACAGGCACCCTCCATCACACCCGGCTAATTTGTTTGTATTTTTAGTAGAGATGGGGTTTCACCATGTTGGCCAGGCTGGTCTTGAACTCCTGACCTCATGATCCACCCGCCTCAGTCTCCCAAAGTGCTGGGATTACAGGCGTGAGCCACCGCGCCCAGCCAACAGATTGTTTTATTAATATTTATTAAGGACTCAGGGTGAAATACAATGACGTTAAAGACTATTAAAAAAATAGTTGACATCTCTAGCGTTCCCTTTTTTTCATTCAGATGTGATTACAATCTGGAGTAGCCTGATAGAGTATCTGTGGGCATGTTCATTGTTGGCAGTATGGTACCTGTAGCATTCTGGAACCCAAGGGGATTTAGGGATGAATTAGCCAATATCCTGTAATATAGCCTTTACATGGGTTGAGTCAGCTTAGCATAGATTAATCAGGGAGCTACTTAGAGGGTTTTGTAGTGCTTCCTGGACCAGCTTCATATCTGGCGTGTTGTCTGAAAGGTGGACCCACATAAATTGGATTCATTTTTCAAAGCAAGAAAGAAGCAGTTTAACCTTGATGTTGTCCTTAAAAACATGATTGGCTGTAGTGTGAAAAGAATGTATAACTCTATTTATTAGGCCACACAGTATTAACATCCCTCTGAACTACATCTAGTTGTATCTTACTAAATGTAGTTCTGAGTTACGTTACTCATTAGCAGTGTTCTAAAACGGAAACACTGAAGAATCACTAATTTTAGCTATTTATCTGTTACTAACAAGTAGTTTTTTTTTAATTTTAGTTTTGTGTTTAATATTGTAGGATCACAGTAGTAGAAGGGCATTCACACATCATGTCGTCCAGTTAGTGCCTGTGTCACCTGAACGGCACTGCCATCTTTTGTGCCTCACTCAGTGGTTTTCAGTTGGGTGCCATGCTAGAATATCTGGGGAGGAACTTTTGAAACAGTTCAGGGCCTGGGCTCTCCCCTGGATCAACTACATCAGAATCTTAGAGTGGGGCCTGGTTATTGATGTTTTTTTAAAAAAAGAATTTTACAGATGATTCTTATATGCGTCCATAATTGAGAGTGACTGAGTTAGAGTCTAGATTCTTGACTAGTGTTTCTCAAACTTCAGCATGCAACATAACCACCTGGAGTGCTAGGGAAAACACCTGGAAGGGCTACATTGCTGGGCTCCAACCCCAGAATGCCTGATTGAGTAGGCCTAGGTGGGCCCCAGAATTTTCACTTCTAACAAGTGCCCTGGGGATGCTGATGCTCCTAGTCAGGGAACACACGTTGAGAATCAGTGAGCTAGATCAGTGCTGTCTAGTGAAAACAGAATGTGAACCACCTATGTGATATTAAAATTTTTCCAGTAAACACGTTAAAAAGAAACAGGTGAAATGAATTTTAGTATATTTTATTTAAGCTATTATATGTAAAATATTACTATTTTGACATACAATTCTATAAAAAATTATTAATGATCTCTCATATTTTCTTTTTCTTTGGAGACAGAGTTCACTCTTGTTGCCCAGGCTGGAATGCATGATCTCGGCTCACCGCAACCTCTGCCTCCCAGGTTCAAGCTACTCTCCTGCGTGTCAGCCTCCCGAGTAGCTGGGATTACAGGCATGCGCCACCACACCCAGCTAATTTTGTATTTTTAGTAGAGATGGGTTTTTCCATGTTGGTCAGGCTGGTTTCAAACTCCTGACCTCAGGTGATCTGCCCGCCTTGGCCTCCCAAAGTGCTGGGATTACAGGCGTAAGCCACTGTGCCCAGCCAATGATCTCTCATATTTTTTATATGACCTCTTCAGAATCTAGTATTTTACACAGATAGCACACCTCACTGTGGATTAGCCACGGCAGGTGCTCAGTATACAGCAGGTGCTCAGTAGTCACATGCGGTTAGCAACCCCTATTAAAACAACACACATCTAGACAATTGCTGTGTATTGCTAGTTATAGAAATTGGCAAAATCCTGAGTCTATATAGTCTACCTCTATAGAGCTAAGGTGAAATTACCTTTTATTTGCCAAAATCTATGTCTCTGTAGGAGCTTCCAGGTTTTAGTTTTATTATACAGGTATAATTTTAATTTCACATGACAGTTGGAGGTATTGATCATGTCCCCCTGAGCCTTCTTTAGGCCAAACATCACTAGTCGTTCTTCATAGTGTATTTAAAACCACATCATCTTATCTGAACACGTCTCTCTCAAAATACAGTAGCTAGAATGGTACCCAGGACCCTAACTGTGGTCTGACCTCAAATAATAAAACCTTCTCCTTTTCCACATATTTACTATTATGACTGCAGCCTAGAGAGCACATTAGGTTTTTTGGTGCGTGTGTTGCAATATCGTCTAATACTAAATTATTGCGCACTCAAAACATTTGCATGCTCTTTATGTAATTAGTGGTTTTTGTGAACTCAAATGCAAGACCTGCCTTATATCCCTATAACACAGTGGTTCTCAAACGGGTGGTTTTGCCCTCCAGGGGACATTTGACAATGTCTAGAGACATTTTTGGTTGTCACAGCTGATGGGGAGGGAGGTAGTGATGTTCTACTGGCAGCTAATGGCAGCGGCCAAGTGTTCTCCTAAACTTCCTACAGTGCACAGGAAGCCTCCCACAACAAAAAAATGATCCTGGAATGCCAATAGTGTGGATATTGAGAAGCCCTGCTGTAGGTAATGGTGAGATTGTGAACTCAGGAAGTGGCCCAGATCTCATAGAGGCCCTTTGGGCAACGGTGCTTTGTTCTCATGAGTTTCTTGAGAGCTCTTGTTGGGCTCCCCTAGGGAAACCCAGGTCACTGGAGTGTTTGTTCATTACCTTGTAATCTTGTCAGAAGAGGAAGTGATTTGTCTATTTTGACTTGTTTTTGGTGAACTCAAAGAAAGTTTGGTAAGTATAGAAAAGCATATTAAAAAATGTAACAATTACTCTTAAATATTACCTTTAATTGTACTACCTAGGGGTAACTATGGCTATTATTTTGGTGTTGACATTGGAGTGAGAGCCACGTTATTTGGACTTGGATCCTGGGCCTACCACTTACTAGTTTTGTGACCTTGGGCAGGTTTCCCGTGAGGAACGGTAATAGGACCTTTCTCAGAGTTGTGAGGATTAAACATGTTTAATACATACATTGTGTTTAGAACAGTCCCTGGCACATTGTAAAAACTATTTAAGTGATTGTTTCTGTGTGTTTTCTTGGCATACGTTTGTGTGTGTTTCTGTGTATGTATATAGCATACAGATGAGTATGGTTGAGCTCATGTGGCATATACATACAGTTTTACACCTTTTTTGGAGAACATTTGCTCATGTTATTAAAAGTTCTTACCATACGACTGTAGAATACCATGAATTTTGGTACATTAAATGTAAAATAACTACATAAATTTGTGATAAATCACATCTCTTAAACTAAATTCAAGAATAGACTAGTGGTAGCAGATACTGATTAAGAAAAATTGGAGAGAAAAGCTTGACATTTAAATTGTTTTATCGATTAGCTTACTTTTCCCCGTGGTTAAAAAAAGACTACCATTGTCAGATTTTAGCAAGACACCTCAGTCTAGCCTATAGAACTCTATATTCCATTCCTTCTGGAATGTCGTCTTAGATTGTTGGAAAGCTTCTTGGTTTTTAATTTATAGGATCTGTCTTAATTCTCCCTTCCCCTGCAAAAAAAAAAAAAAAAAGTATATATTCTTATACATTAGAAGAGATTCCAGCCTTTCTATAGCTTTCTGTTGAAAATACACTTTTCTGAGTTGAAAAAAAAAACCCTTTTTTCCTACACATTTAGACATGAAATCTTTCTGAAAGTGATGAGTTTATATTTTGGAATCACAGTGTCATAGTTTTTCATTTGGAAGAGTAAACAGTTGGGTGTAAAACTGGGCAACTGTTTGGCTTCAGAATTGTTTATTTCCATAGTTTTAAGGATACCAGATTGTGTTTGTCTTGTTTGAGTCTCTGTGTATCTAAGCCTCTGTGTTTGTGATAATTTGGAATTTAGAAGCCTTTGAGGGGTTTGAAAGTAAAGATAACTCTTACAGTTTATTACCAGTATTTTAATTTTAGAGAAACAAAATATGGTGTTTAAAGTTTTCATTTGGCAGGAATAACAATGGCATTGTTGCTCCCTGGGTGATCAGTGAGGAGGCGAGGAGGAAGTGTCTTTCCATAGTACAACTGTTTGTTGTCCAAGTGCTTTCCTTCTCATGACTTTCTCCACTGTGTTCTTAGGACTCAGACAGAGTATTGTTCAGTTGTTAATATCGGGAGCTTGACAAATTGCTATTTTTTGGGTACTGTTTGTTAAATGAATGCTTACTTAGCTGGGCAGCTGTAGTGGAACTTGTTTTAGAAAAGAGGCTCTAGATAGGACATCATTTTGGAAGAGGATCTGCAAATCATAGCCCGTAGGCATGGAATGACCTGTAAGGTCTGGACCTTGTAGTCAGGTGGTTAGTGTATCACCGGCTCCACTTGTTGAAGCAGCTGAGGCCCAGGGAAGTTTAATGACTCTCCTGAGTCAGCTAGCTGGTACATGGGGAATAGAATCCTTGTTTGCTGCCTCTCAATAAGGTAATGTGGTTGAATATGCCCTGGTGCTGTCCCCCCGTGGTCTTGGAAGAATCCTGGACTGTTAGAGTTGAGTCTTCACTTCTGTGTGCCCAAAATATTTCCATGGATGATCTGGCATGAAGCGTCATTGTTTTAGATGAACTGAGTTCATTTTTGAAAGGTCTTGACTCATGTTGTTGTTTTGACAGCAATTGCTTGTTCAGAGCTCTTGGTGATCAATTGGAGGGACACTCACGAAATCATCTCAAGCACAGACAGGAGACAGTGGACTACATGATAAAGCAACGGGAAGATTTTGAACCCTTTGTAGAAGATGACATTCCTTTTGAGAAGCATGGTAGGTTCACTGTGGAACATTGGGTCCTTCAGGAGTAATGCATTGGGTAATTAAGTCCACTGGCATCCTCCACCCTCCCAGCCAAGGGTTTGGTTATATAAATCACGACATTCATTTATTCAGCAAATAATTGTTTGCCTACTTGGTCGGCGGCAGCGTGCTAGGTAGCTGGAGATCAGTAGGTTTAGCGGTATATGCCCTTAATAAACATGATGATGTTAATTGACCTGAAAAGCGATTCATGACTTCTTCCTCAGTGGGGTGGGAACAGCAGGCTATGACATAGCTTGTATAGATTGATCCTATTTTTAAAAGGTATACAGACACAGCAGGAAAAGTCTGGAAAGATACTGTTTGTTAATTCTTAGCTTCACTTATTTTTCAGAAATTACTCATTCTCTTTAAACTTCTATAGAAGGGAGATAATAATAGCATCTATCTCATAGGGTTTTTGGTGAAGATTAAATTAGATAACAAAATTAAAATAAGCCCTTAGTAAGCGTTAGCCATCTGGGGATCGTGGGACTATGGTATTTTAAATTGTCTTCTCTAGACTTTTTCTGACTTTTAGATGATCATGTATTACTTTTAAAATTAGAAAAACCAATAAAATCATGTTAATTTCTCACCAAAACCCCAAACACAATCTGTTTTCTTTGAGGCAAATCAGTTAGTGATTTTAGTTGGTTCCTGTTTAATAGGCATAGATCTTACAGAAAATGCATATGAACTTGTAAACTTTAATTTCAACAAATATTTACTGAGAATCTACTGTGCTCGCTGCTGATATGTTTTACAAATGGCATTTTCATCACAGGGCTCGTAGTCTTTTCTGTCTGTTGTCAGGAAAGGGGATTGATCCTTTTATTTTAGCGAGCTAACTCTGGAGGCCATGCCGAGAATTGATGGGGAGGGAGACTGAGCAGGGAAACTAGTTAGAAGGTCTCCACACTGGCCAGATGAGAGTAGAGGATGTCTCCATCATGGCAGCTACTGAGGATAGTAAGGCCCAAACCAAGCCACACTTTGGCAGTGTAATTGACAGGACACATTGGAGGTGAGGAGGATAGAGGGAGGAGACGAGTGATTCTGAAGTTCCTGCTTAGGGAATGGGTAGATGACTGTACCGTTAGCAAGAGAGAGGGCAGCAGGAGGGGAACATTTGGGAGAAAAGCTATCAGTGATCCCAAAACCTTTCCCATTCCTCACTAGAAAAGAACTTACTCAGTAGGCAACAGACACGGAGCAACCAAACTTCCAGTGGGTGGTTTGTACCAGTCACTGAGTTCAGATGGTCTCTCTTCCTGGAATTACTTTTTGGTTATCAGATAGACATAGTTTACTGGATAGTCAGCAGTTTACAAATTAAATGTGTGTATATGGGACAAATTTTGTAGTTTAGTGCTGTATGAAATGAATTGTGTCATTAATCCTGTGAAAACATCATTTTGGATGAAATGAGTTTTTAGTTTGTGATGTGAAACTCCACTTTGAACACTGTCAGTGAAGATCACATGGTGGATTTGGGAGTGTTACAGGATAGGGAACTCAGATCTTCAGTTGCCAATGTGATAGTCACTGTAGATGAACAGTGGAAAGGTGTTTTCTTGCAATGGCACTATGCATACCTGTTGCTTGGAGCTGCTTAAGAATTTGAGCATCACAGAAGTAAGACGTCACTTTGACGGCCAGAGCAGAAATGAAAAGAAACGTGGAAGTCTGCACATTGTCGTTGTGTGTCAGTTGAAGGCTTGGCTTATTACATTGATCAGTCTTGAGTCAGCGTTACCTGTTTTTAATGTCAGTATGCCTACCTTGTTATACTGTGAGATTCTCGAGCAGGGACTGTGTGTCTTTGTTTTGCGGTGTGGCAGTGCCCGGCATCTGGTAGGCATTCATAAAGTATTTGTTGAGTGAATAAATGAATGGTTCACTAGACTATTGAGGACCTCATCACCCTTGCATCTGGCTGTATCTTTAGGCTTATTCTTTTCTTTTAGACTGTGGCTTCAGAGAATCAGCAACATGTTTCCCCCAACTGTACAGATATCCAGATCAGAACCTGAGTATCTTAATGTTTATCTTCCTCCCTCCTCATACCCCTTCATTACATCTTATCACTCTACTTCAGTAGTTTTTCTTTCACTGCTACTGCCCCATAAAATCTGACCTCTGTGGCGATTTGCTTAGATTTCCTAAATACTGTTTGGTATCGTTGTCTCTTGATTCTCTCACTCTGTTTTCTACATAACAGCCAGAGTGAGATCTAAGTGTGTTTTTCCTGTGTCTAAAACCTGTTGGTGACTCCCCTTTTGACCTCAGGATAGAGCCCAGACTTTTTAGTTCTTCATGATCTGGGATTTTCTTATTTCTATGTCCTCATCTCTTGCCATTCCCCCCAGCGTTTTCTCCTTCCTCCACCTCTCCATCTCAGCATTCTCAGTTCCTGCCATACTAGAGTTCTCTCTCTCTCTCTCTCTCTCTCTCTCTCTCTCTCACATCTGTCTCTCCTCTACTTAGAACATCATCCATTTCTCCTGTCTTAACTCCTCCTTGTGCTTTGGGTATTAGCTTAGTTGTCTCAGTTGAGAAGCTCCTCTGATACACCTTACCTCCCCCTCCTCAATTCCTCAATTCTCGTATCACCTGGAGTTAGCCAAACTGTAGGGTTTGAGAGCACAGTCCTTGCATGACTTCCCTCAACTTTTGGTACCATCTACAAGTTGGGGTCTCCCAGAACCTCCCTTAGATTCCGTAATATGGTAGTAGGACTCACAGAACTCACTGAAAGCTATCATGCTAACAGTTATGGTTTGTTACAGGGAAACGATACAGATTAATACTACTAGCCAAAGGAAGAGATGCATAGGGCAATCTGGAAGGGTTCCAGACACGAAGCTTCTGTTGTCCTCAGGGCATATTCTCATGGCATCTGTGTGTGACAGTACACACAGAATATTGTCACCTGGGGAAGCTTACCCCAACTTTGGTGTTCAGAGGCTTTTGCATATTGATTTATTGTCTAAGTGGTTGAACTCAGTCTCCCCTCTCACCCTATCACCACCACAAAGGTCTGATGCCGGATGTGGTGGAGGGGCCCATCATGAATAACAGATACTCTCATCACCTTTGGGAATTCCAGAGGTTTAGAAGTGACCTCCCAGGAGCCCAGCATAAAGGCCAGACCTCTCTTTGGGCAAGGCCAGATTCTTACTGTACATGCCCTTCCCAAAGCACTTGTGCATCGTTAGTGCCTGTCTTGTTTGCCCCTCACTGGTTGTGAACTCTGCGAGGGCAAATTGATGGAGTGGCTGAGAGCCAGGACCTTGGCATTGGGCTGCCTAGGTGAAACCTCAGCTCCACTGTGTACCAGCTCTTTGACCTTGGCACAGTTTTCAGCTATTTTGCATCTGAGTTTCGTCATGTATAAAATGGTGTGTATAATAGTAGTTGTCTATGAGATGTGATTAGACCAGTGCTTGACACATAATAACCATTCAGTAATGCAAGCTGCTAAGATTACTGTGTTGATTGGTATGTTCCCAGTGCCTTTTATTGAGTTAGCATATTGGAAGTAATCAGTAAACATTTATTGAAGGAAGAAATAAATGGATCTTTACTTTATGAATGACTAGTGTTCTTCTCAGTAGCAGTCTTTGTATTGTTCAAGTAGCTGAATTCCTAGATTCTGACAAAGTTAATGGACTTTTCCAGATCTATATCCTTGTTTCTCATTATTTGGAACTCAGTAAATACCAAAGCATGTTTGCATTTGGATTTTTCCACTATAAAGACATCGTTTTTCTCTCCTATTTCCATGCAGTGGCCAGTTTGGCAAAGCCTGGTACTTTTGCTGGCAATGATGCAATTGTAGCCTTTGCAAGAAATCATCAGTTGAATGTAGTGATTCATCAACTTAATGCCCCTTTGTGGCAGGTAGGTCACCTGTTTAAACATTTGTCTTAAGCTTTTGTTTCTAAATCAGTTTTGGGAATATCCGAAGATGATGGGGCTTGACCTGTGAACATGGAATTATGCAGAGTGACTGGACTGTGAGCCTAACCAAAGACAATATTGTTGTGGTGGCTCAGAAGTAATCCCTGTGCTATGTACAAATGGAGTCCAGAGTATAATTTAGAAATCTTTTAAAATGCTATACATATTCAACAGTCAGCTAATTGGGCAGGTTGGGGACAGAGAACCTAGTGTGGAAACACAGGCCACCACCCCCTAAAGTCAGTGCTGCTTGTTGCTTTGTACCTCAGCTCCTAAAGACTGAGCATGTGGTTTCTGTTAATTCCCCACCCACCCTGCCCTGCTCCACCACTCCCTGATTTCTCACTTTTACTAATTAAAAAGTTAAAATACAGTACTTGTAGAAAAGTTAGAAAATTGAAAAAGCTCATAAAGGGAAAAAATTTTATTAAAAATTACATTTAAAATTTTATTGAATCACCCAGAGAGAGATTGCTGTTAATGTTTTAGTGAGTATTCCTGTCATTCACACGCACTTAGCTATAAAAACATTGATACATAACTGGAAAGGAACATACCACAATGTTTTTACACACTTTTAAAACACACACACATGTATCCATATCCACATACATATGGACACTTCTGTGTTATTAGCATAAAGGTAACAGTGCCCTTTTTTTCATATGATACCTGCATATATTCCTTTGTAAATTGCTCCGTCAGTCTTTGCCTATTAAAAATAGGTTTATAGGGATATAATTTACACGTAGCAAACTTCATCCTCTTCCAAGTGTACAGTTCTGTGTGTTTTGACAAACAGTCATGTAACCACCACTACTATCAACACACAGACTACTGTGGAAAAAGTCACTTCCACGCTCTTTGTACTTTGTAGTCACTGGCCCCCTCCCCCAATACCCAGCCTCTTGTAGCCCATTCTCTGATTTGTCCTTATAGCTTTGCTTTTCCAGAATGTCGTATTAAAGAATGCAGCCTTTTGTCCCTGGCACAGTGTCCTTTTAACAAAATTATGCTACAACAAAATAAGATACTCCAGGGAAGGTGAGAAATTTTACCTTATGGGGATAGAATGAGCAGGAGTGAAACAGTATCTGCTTGTGTTCTTTGGGGCAGTGTTGCGGATGTCCTGACATCAGGATACCAGATAGAGCTATCATATTTTCCATGGGGCTCTCTTTTCTAAGGGTGATGTTTGAGCAAGAATACTGGTTACTCCTTTGTTCTATTTTTTGTCATTAAACTTACACTGTTTTGCAGAAGTTATCAAAACTGTTTGAATACCCAGCATAATGACCCTCACCTTGAAGGAGAATACTCAGTACCAACTCCGTAATCAGCTTGCCTTTTCCTCCACTGATGACTTTTTTCCCAAAGTTTCTTAGTTACCTAGGTAGTTGTGGAAGACAATTCTGCATAGGTAAAAATTTTTTTCAAGTATGTTTCTGTAGTGTTCTGTTTCATAAATTCCTGAACATTGAAAGTACATCTTCTTGAAATAAATTTACTAATATTTCCATTGGATCCCCCTATGTCTTCCTACCCCAGTGAAGCATCTTGCAAAATTTAAGAACCGAAACTGCATTGGTTGCTACTGTCATGGTTATGAGCTCTTACATTAATAAAGAGTCGGCTTACACTCGTACCATGGAGTTATTGAAACCTACATTTTTTTTCTGGTTATAATTGGAATATGTGTTCCTGTGAACAGTCTAGATGTATGTCATAGAATGTGAAAGTCCTCTGTAATCTGCCCATGAAAGTCACAGTTAACAATTTGGTGAATATTCTTCCAGTTATGTTTTCTATTCATCTATGCTATTCATGTATATATATCGTTATTATTAAGTATGTAAGTGCTTTAGGGATTATGTCATTCCAAGATTCTAATGAACTGTTTGCTTTCACATTGCTCTTCCTGGGAGACAAATGGTGCTCTCTGTTTTGTGTGTGTCTAAACCAGACTCTCTGCATTTGAGATCTACGTATTCTACAGGAAAAACCTTCCACAGTACTGACGTCTAGACTTGTGTGCTTCCTGTTTGTTCCATGGCTTTTGCTTTGTTTTTAGACCATGGATACTGTTTAAATTAAGGGTAGTATCTTACTACCTGTGATTTTCAGTAAAAAGAATGTGCTGATGTTTTGGAGTTTAAACAAAGGAACCGTTACTGGGCTTTCTAAGGGACAAAGTCAGAACGAGAGTTTGTGTGGAGGTGGCGAGTTTTATTTGGGGTATGCCCAGACCTTAGGGCTTCTGTTCTGCACGACTCTAGGGAGCCCCATTCTTGTGCTGTGCGTCAGGGGGTTAGTTCACATAGAATACCTTGTGGTGGTGCCTCCAGGGTTGAGCAGTGCAGGCCATACTACTTCATGTAATTGTGCTTTGAAGTTGATGTAGGTGGGAGGTTTGGGTTTGTTGATAATGTTTCTCACTTAGGTGGTTAACAGAAAATGCTATTTTCGTTTTAATGAAAGGGGTGGATTTACCTTGAAGCTAATGAAGTGTCAGACCACTCATTTCTAGGACTCCCTTTCTAGGTCTTGGGAGAGGTTCTACCAATTTTATGTTTATAATTTTGCATTTTTTTTTTCTCAAAGAGAGCCTTCAAATAGTTAGGGCTTCAAGCTCAACAAACCTGGATCTGCCCCTGGGCTTTCCCCGTGGAAGGGGCTTGTGCATTAGTGGGGCTAAGAGGTAATCAAGCCTCTGAAGCTTAAGCTTATTTAACTTCATTGCAAGTCTGTCCCTGGTTTTTGAATTTCTTACATGGATTTATTTCCATAGAGTTACATATTAAATAAGCATATAGAAGCATACACGCGTAGGAAGGAGGTAGTTTGGAAATTGCTTATGACATATCCCAGGCATGTTCCCAATTAGTGTCTGCATAGACCTGCTGACTGGGCTTCCTCAGCAGGCCAGGTGGGTGTTTCTCTCCAGAGGTTGACAGTGTTCAGATCCTCACTAGCATGGCCCCTTCTTTTGTCTACAGATTCGTGGTACAGATAAAAGCAGCGTAAGGGAGTTACACATCGCATATCGGTATGGAGAGCACTACGACAGTGTTCGGAGGATCAATGACAACTCGGAGGCACCTGCACATCTCCAGACGGATGTGAGTGAGGCCTCGGTTTTCTCTCGTATTCTCAGCCCTGCAGGAAACAGGTTGAGAGCTGGATATTTGGCGCTAAAAACCCGTGATGTTTTTGTGGAAAGTTGGCGTTAAGAATCTGTGGGCCTGATTTTAAAAATATTTTTTATGTCTTAGTTTAGGTGAGAGTGATAGATAAAATTGCTTATTATTTTGCTTTTTCTGATAGTTGATAGTTATGATTGTGTGTGTATAAGATGCATGGAATTTTCAAATTATTTTTATGTTTTAAAATTAATCTACACTTTTTTTTTTTGGAGACGGAGTTTCGCTTTTGTTGCCCAGGCTAGAGTGCGATCTCGGCCCACCACAACCTCCACCTCCCCGGTTCAAGTGATTCTCCTGCCTCAGCCTCCCGAGTAGCTGGGATTACAGGCATGCGCCACCACACCTGGCTAATTTTGTATATTTAGTAGAGACGAGGTTTCTCCATGTTGGTCAGGCCGGTCTCAAACTCCTGACCTCAGGTGATCTGCCCACCTTGGCCTCCCAAACCGCTGGGATTACAGGGGTGAGCCACCGTGCTTGGCCTAATCCATGCTTCTTATCTGAAATCTGAAAACTATAGTAAAGGTAGAGAAGAAAATAAAAAACACATAAACTCAACTCAGCTACCTGAATGTACATTTTGTTACTGTTTTGGTAGATTTATTTTCAGTCATTTAATGCATTAAAACACGGTTGACTTTGTATTTATATAGCTTTGTTTCCTGTTTTTAAAAATTAACATTATTGCAGAAACCTTTTCTCCTGTTTTTACACATGATCCAAAACCATTGTTTTTTAAACAGTTTTATTTATTTTTTGAGATCAGGTCTCGCTCTGTTGCCCAGGCTGAAGTGCAGTGGCACCATCACAGCTCACAGCAGCAGCCTTGTCCACCTGGACTCCAGCGATCCTGCCACCTCAGCCTCCTGAGTAGCTAGGACTACAGGTGTGCACCACCATGCTTCGTTAATTTTTAAATTTTCTGTAGAGATGAAGTTTCACTATGTTGCCCAGGCTGCCCTCCAACTCCTGGGCTCAAGTGATCCTTGTACCTTGGCCTTCTAATGTGTTGGGATTACAGGTGTGAGCCATGGTGCCTGGCAATTTTAATTCTTGAATAGGTCATATTTGTCCCTGGATTAGAATTCAAAATATATAATGGGATATATAGTGAAAGTCACTCTCCTACCCTTGTACTTCAGCCACGTTGTTCTCCCTGGATGCAGTCAGTGGTATTAGTATATCATAAAATCTCCTATGGTTTACATGTCGAGCAAATATATGTGGATGTGCACATATTCCTCTTTTGCCATTTTTATACTCTCCCTACCACTAGTTGTAGCATCCTACACATCCCACACATACATCCTGCACTGTGCTTTTCAAATTCAGTGTGTCTTGGGATTTAGTTCATGGTAGTACATAAGGAACTTCCTGTATCCTTTTTAAAAGCCACGTAGTGTCCTGTTCTATAGATGCATTATAATATTTTTGACCACTCACTTACCAATGGGCTTTTAGGTGGCTTCTAATCCTTTGCTATTACAAGCAATGTGCAGTACCTTTTATGTACCTCATTTCACACATATATCTGTGGGACATATTCCTAGAAGGTCCTTGCCACATCAGAGGATGTTGATAGGTATTGTCAAATTACTTTCATAACAGGAGTTTCAACCCGTTTAAAGTTTGCACTGCCGTTTTAGTGGATCTTCTTGGCACGGTGCCATTTGTTAACATTTGAACCACATTTTTTATTATTTTATTTATTTTTATTTTGAGACGGAGTCTCGCTCTTGTTCACCAGCTGGAGTGCAGTGGCCCGGATTTCTCAGGTCCACTGGGCAAGCTTCCGCCTCCCGGTTTGACGGCCATTTCTTCCCTTGCCTTTCCAGCTTTCCCGAGGTAGCTGGGAGGGCGGCGCCGGCCACCCTCGCGCCGGGCTAGGTTTTTTGTATTTTTTTTAGTAGAGACGGGGTTTCACCGGGTTAGCCAGGATGGTCTCGATCTCCTGACCTTGTGATCCGCCCATCTCGGCCTCCCAAAGTGCTGGGATTACAGGCTTGAGCCACCGCGCCCAGCCTGTTAACACATTTTTAAATCCTTTTCATTGTTAAGGGAAAAATTGTTTACTTAACCTAGTTTTAATTTGCGTTTCTCTTATTTATGCATCTTTTCCTGTGTTTAAGACATATTTCTATTTTCTTTTTTGTAAATGGTGTTCATTTTCTTTCCCCATTTTTTCCCTATTATGTTGTCTTAATGATTTTGGGGAGCTTTTTATGTATTAGGGAAATTAGCCTCTGTCTGTGATATGAGTTGCAAATAGGTTTTCTCATTCTGTCATTTGTCTTTTTCTTTCTCCTGTGGTCTTTGCTATGAAAGAATTTTAGATATTTTCATGGTTAAATTTGTTAATGATTTTATTATATGCCCTTTGGATTTTGGGTCGTAACTAGGAAAGTCTTTCCCACTCTGAAGTTAAAAATAATTCTCCCATAGTTTATTCTAGTACTTTCATAGTTTCACTTTATTTATTTTTTGAGACTGGGTCTCACTCTGTCGCTGAGGCTGGAGTGCAGTGCCATGATCATGTTTCACTGCGCCCTCAGCCTCCCAGGCTCAAGCGATCCTCCTGAGTAGTTGGGGCCACAGCTGTGCACCACTATGCCTGGCTAATTTTTTATTTTTTGTAGAGACAGGGTCTCACTTTGTTGCCCAGGCTGGTCTCTAACTCTTGGACTCAAGCAACCCTCCTGCCTCGACCACCCAAAGTGTTGAGATTGCAGGTGTGAGCCACTGCACCCAGCTTATAGTCTGACTTAAAAAAAAAATTAAATTTTGGCTTCTTTTGGAATTTATATTCATATAAGGGTGTGAGGCTATGGATCCAATTTTATATTTCCCTTGTGATTACCTAGTTGTACCGAAACCATTGATTAATTATACATCTTTTCTGCACTGATTTAAAATGCCACTGTCTTTCCATATACTCAATTCCCATATGTATTTGGGTCTATTCCTAGACATTTGGTTCTGGTCCACTGATCTTCCTGTTCACATGTTGATGCCTCATGGTTTTAGTTGGTATATTTTAAAATCTGGTAGAATTTTTCACTCATAATTAATTTTCTTTTTTAGCGTTTCCTTATATATTCTTGCCTTTTTTAAAAAAAACAAAATGAGGCCAGGCGTGGTGGTTCACGCCTGTAATCCCAGCACTTTGGGAGGCCGAGGTGGGCAGATCACGAGGTCAGGAGATCAAGACCATCCTGGCTAACATGGTGAAACCCTGTCTCTATTTTATACAAAAAATTAGCTGGGCGAGGTGGCGGGCGCCCGTAGTCCCAGCTACTCGGGAGGCTGAGGCAGGAGAATGGCGTGAACCTGGGAGGCGGAGCTTGCAGTGAGCAGAGTTGGTGCCACTGCACTCCAGGCTAGGTGACAGAACGAGACTCCGAATCAAAAATAAACAAACAAATAAATAAATAATAAATGTTAGAATCAGTGTGTCTAGTTCAAAAGAAATGCTATTAATTTTTTTTTTTTTTGAGAGTCTCGTTCTGTTGCCCAGGCTGGAGTGCAGTGGTGCAATCTCACCTCACTGCAACCACCGCCTCCCAGTTTCAAGCAATTCTCCTGCCTCAGCCTCCCAAGTAGCTGGTAGCTCGCCACCACCCTTGGCTAATTTTCATATTTTTAGTAGAGATAGGGTTTCACCACGTTGGCCAGGCTGGTCTTGAACTCCTGACCTCAAGTGATCTGCTCGCCTTGGTCTCCCAAAGTGCTGGGGTTACAGGTGTGAGCCACTGTGCCCGGCCCTAGTAAGTTTTTAAAAATTGGAATCTCATTAAGTTAATAGAGTAATTTAAGGAAAAGCTGACATCTTTCTGATGTTGAGTCTTTTATTATTTAATTGACTTTGTGATCCATCGGAACGTTTTCTTCATATAGATCTTGCCCATTTTTTCTTGAGTTTATTCTAAGGAGATGTTTTGTGCTTTTTGTGTATTGTAAAGAGATCTTTTATATTTTCTAGTGGGTTGTCATTTGTCTATGAGAGCTGTTAATTAACAAAATGTTAATTACATACTTAGGTATTCCACAGAACCCCTCTCTTTTTAAAAATTAAAGCAAAATTCCCATAACATAAAATTAATCATTTAAAAACATACAGTCCAGTGGTACTCAGTACATCCCCAGTGTTTGTTGTACAACCATGTCCTCGGTCTAGTCCCAAAATATTTTCATCACCCCAAAAAGAAAACCTCATGCCCATTGAGCAGTGATTCCCAATTCCCCCTGTCCCCTAGCAACCACCAGTTTGCCTTTCTTCTCTGTGAATTTGCCTATTCTGGACATTTTATGTAAATGGAATTATATGTGACTTTTTCTTTGTGGCTTCTTTCCTCAGTATGATGTTTTTGGGAGTCATTCATGGTGTAGCATGTATCAGTACTTCATTCTTTTTTTATGGCTGAATAATATTCCATTATATGGAGAGATGATTTTTTGTACATCTATTCATCTGTTAATGAGCGTTTAGGTTGTTCCCACCTTTTGGCTATAGTGCTGCTGTGAGTATTTGTGTACAGTATTTTTACAAATACCTATTTTCAGTCTTTTTGTATATACCTCGGAGTGGAATTGCTGGGTCATATGGTAAACCTAAACTGAACTTTTTGAGGAACTGCCAAACTGTTTTCCACAGCAGCTGCACTGTTTTTCTTGCCAGGCTTTGTTTTCTCTTCATCCTAACATTTTAGTTTTTTTCTTAAATGGTCATCCTACTTAGTATCTTAAAGTTTTTGTTTTTTGATACGGAGTCTTGCTCTGTCGCCCAGCCTGGAGTGCAGTGGCGTGATCTCGGCTCACTGCAAGCTCTGCCTCCTGGGTTTACGCCATTCTCCTGTCTCCGCCTCCCGAGTAGCTGGTACTACAGGCACCTGCCACCACGCCCAGCTAATTTTTTGTATTTTTAGTGGAGATGGGGTTTCATCGTGTTAGCCGGGATTTCATCGTGTTAGCCAGGATGGTCTCTATCTCCTTACCTCGTGATCTGCCCACCTCGGCCTCCCAAAGTGCTGGGATTACAGGCGTGAGCCACTGCGCCTGGCCAGTATCTTAAAGTTTGGAATTGCATTTTCTTAATAGCTAATGACATTGAACGTCTTCTCATGTGCTTTTCAGCCATCTGTATATCTTTGGAGAAATGTCTATTCAAGTCTTTTGCCTATTTTTTAATTGGTTCTGCCTTTTTGTTTTTGAGTTGTAAGAGTTTTTAATATATGCTAGATGCTAGAGTCTTATCAGGTATATGATTTGCTGTAATTTTTTTGGTTTGCGGTAGTTTTTTTTGTTGATTCTCTTGTTTCAGTTACAGTATTATATCATTTACAAGGACAGATTACTTTTTTCTTTTTAATTTTATACTTATAATTTATTTTAGCTAATGGCTTTGGCTGTTACCTCCAAAATATTGTTAAGTGATAATGGTGGGAGTGATGATTGTGTTTCTTCCTTTGGTGGGAATGAAGACATCATTCTGTGGATTTACAGTGGTTATTTAACCATACCCATACTATAAAGCCTTTCGGTGGTTTTGTTATTCACTAGTATAAGTAACACTGTTAGCCCTTTTACCTAAATCTTTTCTTTTCTTCTCTTTTCTTTTTCGAGACAAGGTCTAGCTCTGTTGCCCAGGCTGGAATGCAGTGGCGTGATCTCGGCTCACTGCAGCCTCTACCTCCTGGGCTCAAGCCATCCTCCCACCTCAGCCTCCTGAGTAGCTGGGACTACAGGTGCATGCCACCATGCCCAAAGAATTCTTTGTGTTTTTTTGTAGAGATGGGATGTCACTTTGTTGCCCAGGCTGGTTTTGAACTCCTGAGGTGAAGTGACCCACCCCTATCAGCCCTCCAAAGTGCTGGAATTACAGGTGTGAGCCACTGCACCAGGACCATAAATCTTTTCTCTATTTGATATTATTTCCTTTGGCTAAATTTCAAAACTGAAACTACTGGGTCAAAGACTCCTGTAACTCTTTGTCAAATTCTTAGCGTTTAATTTTATAATAGAATGCTTTGTATTAACATTCCGAGGAATATACTGCATGTTGCTGGAGTCCACTATACTTTTACGTTCAAAAAATAGAGCTGTCTTTGCCCATTTACCTATCTCCCTGCATTAATGGGAAGCAGAAGAAGGTGGTTGAGCATCTACAGAGGGATGATTTTAGCTTTTCTGATGTAAGGCCCAGGGTGTAAAGGTCTCATGGATCCCAAGTGAACTGTTCTTTGTGGCTTTAGGATTTGGCTTGACAAGTTTCCCTGGGTGCTTTTCGAGATTAGAGTGTCTTGTGTTGAAGATTGTGAACATAGTTTGATTCTCAACACAGTTCCCTGATTATTATTTGTTTCCTTTAGTTTCAGATGCTTCATCAAGATGAATCAAATAAAAGAGAAAAGATCAAGACAAAGGGAATGGACTCTGAAGACGACCTGAGAGACGAAGTAGAGGATGCTGTCCAGAAAGTTTGTAATGCAACTGGATGTTCAGTTAGTATTTCTGTCATGCAGGAATGATTTAGAAGCAAGTGTTGCTGTGCCTAGCTTACGTGTTGCTGTGCCTAGCTTACGTCTTAGTTTCGTAGGACCTCTCCAGCATATCAGCACCTTGTGGGGCAAAATAGGCCCATGAGATTTATAGTTCGATTAGCATATGTGGCTTAATGAGAGCTGTTTATTCATTTCCCTGTTGTTTGCTAGACTTCACCCAGTACTGCTCAAAGTTCTCAGGGAGTATGTGGATTTAATTTTTCCTGACTAGTGTTTACAGTAGTACAAATGCAGTTTTATACAGGGCGTTCATTTATAAATGTACATTAGATGGTTATTTCAAGGGACCAACCTTATTGAAAATTGACATTTTCTAAATGGAAAAGGTCCTGAAACCTTGTCTTAATTCTCACTATTACATCTTTATGTTTATGATTATTAATTCTCACTATTACATCTTTATGTTTATAATTATTGAAGTAGAGCTAGGCAGAAAAATATACTGAGAGTTTTGAAGTGATTTTTTTGTTTGTTTGTTTCTTGGATAGGATTTTAATTTAATAGTCCAGAATCTGGAAGCTGAAAATTATAATATTGAATCTGCAATAATTGCCATGCTTCAGATGAACCAAGGGAAGAGAAATAGTAAGTCCATGACTGATATTTATAGGCCTTCAAAATGGTTGTGTTGGTAATTTTCCAAATATTTATTTTTAACCAAGTCACAGGTGGTAACTGTTCTGTCATTCATTTAGGAGTTGTTTATTGAGCATGTTCTGTATGCAGACATTTTTTACTAGGTCCTGGCCCTGCTTCAGGGGGAGTGTAGTTCAGGCGTGGAGGGTGGATGGTGGAGACAGGTAAACTGGTGTGATAGTACATAATGGGGTGGGAGTACAGGGTGCTGGGGGACGCATCAGGGAAGAATTACCCTGTTTAGAAATAAGATGCCCTTAGAAGACCAAAATGATAACCAGAATTGTTTTCCTGGTGGAAATATTTAGATTTCTATTAACTTGTGATAATTTTGATTTTTTTTTTTTTTTTAAACATGAACCGAGTTTAATTTTGTGACTCAGAGGAAAGAAACGAGATGTAAAGGCCTGGTGTGGTGGCTCACACCTGTAATCCCAGCACTTCGGGAGGCCAAGGCGGGCGGATCACGAGGTCAGGAGTTTGAGACCAGTCTGACGAACATGGTGAAACCCCGTCTCTACTGAAAATACAAAAATTAGCTGGGTGTGGTGGTGGGTGCCTGTAATCCCAGCTACTCAGGAGACTGAGGCAGGAGAATCGCTTGAACCTGGGAGGTGGCGGTTGCAGTGAGCTGAGGTCACACCACTGCACTCCAGCCTGGGCAACAGAGCGAGACTCTGTCTCAAAAAAAAAAAAAAAAGAAAAGAGATGTAACATCTTATTACCTTCTCAAGTCATTTATTTAAAATGGTATCAATAAATACTGATTGCCAGATGTTACATGTCAGATACTGTTTCTGGCATCATAGTTCTCCATGTGATGAGGTATTTTATTATCCACTATGTATTGGCTGTACTTTTAGAAATCTGTAAGTAACTTGGTCTTTGAGACTTTAAACAGCACCCTCCAGTGATCTGTGCTGTTCAGTATAGTGTGTACCTGCCACTTGTGCAATGAGACTGGGGAGCTACATTTTAAATGTTTAATTTTAATTTAAATGTAAATGGCCACATATAGCTAGTGGCTAATACATTGGACAGCACCGCTTTAGAGCCTGTTTGTGTTCTCGGTTTTGGGTGCAAATGGAAGACTTTCCCGTAAAAATTCATGTTAAAACATAATTTATCTAAAAAGCACTCTGCTGTTGGGAAGCTGATCAAAAGGCTGGTCAGTGGGTTATTTTAACATTTATCTTCCCACTTTTACCAACTTTTTCTTCCTATGTTTCCCACTGTCTTGACATTAGAATTTGTCTCAAGGAAACTTACTTCCCCTGTGGCCAAAGTAGGGACCCAGGTAATTTTGGAATCATTAATACAGTAATCACCTGTGTAGCTCTCTCAGGTTCTCAGTTTTAATGAAATATCTTTCTTTGGAAGATGCAGAAGAGAATCTTGAGCCCACTGGTCGAGTGCTGAAGCAGTGTGGCCCTTTATGGGAGGAGGGTGGCAGTGGTGCCAGAATCTTTGGAAATCAGGGCTTAAATGAAGGCAGCACCGAAAACAATAAGGCACGGGCCAGCCCAAGTGAAGAAAACAAAGCAAATAAAAACCAGCTCGCAAAGGTATGTAAGATGGGGTTAAAAGGGTAGGTGGTGGGCAGGTGTAATTCTGTGGCAGTGGTGGGAGCTTGAGATAATCTTATTTGTATTTTCCTTCTAATTTATAAGAGTAGTGTGGAAAATCTGGGGAATGCATAAAGATACATCAAGAAGCAGAATGACCTCACTTACCCTGTTTGGTGTATGCAGTGACAATTGGAAGGAAACACACTCTGAAATTGTCCTCAGTGTACAAATGAAAAGCCTCCTTTTCCCACCTAACATTACTGTACGTGTGGGCTCTTCCCATGTTTATCCATGTTTTTTATAAATGCCATGATCTACAATGAACACCTTTGTGTATAAATCTTTGGGATTTTGCATAATTATCTTGGATAAAATCCTAGAAGAGGAATGAACAGGTTAAAGGTCATGAATACATGAATCTTTTAAAGGCTTTTGGTAAATTGTCAAGTGCTTTCCAGAAAGGTACATCTCCCTCCCTGCCCTTCACTTCCACAGGTAGTATGTGACATCTTCCATTTCACTGAATTTGGAATCATTTTAAAGATTTTCACCAAGAAGTTCTGAGCTCAAAATGCCACAGTGTACAAAGCCACAGCAGAGGCAAAGATGCAATAAGCTTCTGAGGATTTTGTCAGAATTACCTGGGGCATTAAATTATGTGGGGAAAAGTGTCCTCTGACACGTGTGTGTGTTACCTCTTGCTGGATGAGGGCTGATTTCTTTAAGGGAAGAATGGAATTGATTTTGTTTGCTAGTTCAGCAAGGAAATATGAATTTAAATGTAAATTTGAGCGGCAGTGGACAGTAAATCATCTTTGGCATCTTAGATTGTTTTTCCCTGTTGCTGCTGAAAAGCAATCTGTGCCCTTTGCCACCATCTCCCTTCTAGCAGGTGGCAGCTTGAGCCTCCCTGCTGCCTACTCACCACCACGGCCTTCTCTCTCAGGTCACAAACAAACAGAGGCGAGAACAGCAATGGCTGGAGAAGAAGAAGCGGCAGGAGGAGAGGCACCGCCACAAAGCCCTGGAGAGCAGAGGTAGCCACAGGGACAACAACAGAAGCGAAGCAGAGGCGAACACACAGGTCACCTTGGTGAAGACCTTTGCTGCGCTCAACATCTGACTCTGGCCTCTTGGGAGTTGTAAGAAGCGGCTGGAAAAGGATTGCTGTGTGCCAGACTTTCCAGCAAGGCCGTCCTTTTATGAAACGAAACACAACCAACAAAGCCCACACATGAGCTCCCACACTGAGTTAGTGTCCTTCGAGCTGCCTCTTTTTTTGTTCAAAGTTTTATTAGTGATATGTTTTGTTTTATGAAAATGCAGTGAGGCCATTCATATTCTGTAATACAAAATTAAAATACTGAGTTTTAGGGGCAGATAGGTCAGAAAAAACCTGTTAAGTGGTGGCTTTATTTGCCCGAAAATCAGACTTCAGTGACCCTAGGATCTTTCCTTAACATTTGGGGTGAGTTTTGCTGTAATTGTTCATGAGTAGTTTAGAATAATTGTTAGAACTTGAGAATGACAAGTTTCCTTAGTTTCTCTTTCATTTTCAAACAGATACTAACATAGGGTAGCTTATAAATGATCTCCAACTCAGGAATATGCTTTGATTTACTTTCTTCTAATCCAAGTTACTCAGAAAATAATTCAGGAATTGTTTTCCCAAAGTTACATGAGGGTTGTGGCCTGCAATCAGGATGGAAATTAACCGCATTTCTCTCCTTCCTGATTCTGATGTTATTTCAGATGGGATGTAGGTGCTGTTAGTTCATTTGCACTCAAGCCATATGATAAATGCAGCTGACTGTTAATTAGGCCTGGGCCTTGTTGGGAAGTTGACAGTGGTGGTGGTGGGTTTTTGGTATTTGTTTCCTGACAGTGGGGAGATGGCATGTTACTACTTGTGATACAGTTCTGGAATTCTGATAGTATGTAGAGGAGGGTCTGTAGTTCTAACAGGAGAAGAACTCCTGGGGTTTTGCCTAAGAGGAGTCTAAATAATTATGTTTTTATAGAAGAAGCCTGGAAGAATAAGGTTTTTCATGTTCGCATTTTAAATGAGGATTTTCTTCCCTTCTGTTGTAGACTTAGTTGCCTTCAGAGAGATACATGGTAACTTGACCTTATAGGTCGCTAAACTTAGTATTGTGGAAGTTAAATCTTATAAAATGCCACATGTATTTCTTTTTATTTAAGCCCTGTTTGGCATTTCGAAGTTGGGAAACTCCAGCATCTGCTGGGAGTTGTTGGACCAGCAGAGTTGGTTGACTTAGGTTGGACCAGCAGGGAGAAGAGAATATACTTTGGTTAAGGCCTTCGAATGACTCTTCAGTTCTGAAATAGACAGACTTGAGCAATGGAGAGATGTCATTCCTAAAACTGAGTTGGTGGATGTGAACTTAACCATAGCATCCGAGGTGGCCCATCGTGGATAATCTTTGTCTTTTGGGACCTAATACTTGGGCAAATAATTGATGCTGAGTTGAAAGTTAAATATTAGTTATCTTCCCCACCCCTCACATTTCACAATTAGAAAAATTCGGAGGCAAAGTGATAACTAAAAAGTTTGGTAGTTCCTGGAGTCGTCAGGTTGTCTTTATCAGCAGGCCGTTTGCTTTCTTCAGTTTCACTGCTGTCTTTTGATTTTGTTTTTGACTTTGGTGGCTTTTTGTAGTTGGAGCATCAGTAGTCTCTTGGAATTGCTCCTAGGACATTGTGATTTGGATTCTTCTTGGGTACAGTACATTGTAAAATTTAGCAGATTAAAAGTGCACAACATTTTTTCTGTGCACATCGCAGAGCCCTGAGCTTGAGGCTGTGTTGCTGTACTCATTCCAAACGAATGAAAGATCTCTGTTGCCTTACTCTACGGGAGTGGGATCGAGAGTGCGTTAGGATCTGTGGTTGTCTTGGTTTTCAACACTGGGCAGACTCCTGACTGGCTGAGTGTTTCTGAAGAAGATGCTTTCCTGTCTGTTTTGTACTGCTTGAGCTCAGAGGCCAGATCCTCTCAGAAAGACAAGATTGTATGCCAGAAATTCAGATTAGCAGTCAGCTTAAGAGAGACTCATTGTCAGAAGTAGTAGAATTGCTTTATTTACATGGTTAATGAAGGTGGCCTTGGGCCCTGTTGGGTTTTAGAAGTTTTAGAAGCTGCTAAAAAGTTATTAAAGAATATTGGTAACATTTATTTGTAAATTACCTAATTCTGATAATAGGCTTCAGCATTTCTGGAGTATAATAACGGTGATTTAAAAAACTAATCAAATGGCTTTAGTAATTTTCTTTTATTACTGTTTCACAGCTTTTCAGTTACAGTTGGTCTGGGGTACATGCATCCAACTTCAGTGATACTTTCTAGCTAATGGTTTCAATTTAGACTTCACTGCCTCAATCTCATTGGGTATATAAGGTAGTTGGAATCGATATGCTTAGTTGCCTCAGTGGGCACTGGAAAATTACTTCACTGGCAGCCCGAGTGGAGGCCCAGTATGTTTAGTCCTGGGATGACTGTTGTCAGCAGCTATTACTCTAGTACAGGTACTCTGTGAACTCTTTATTAGGAACTGAATGTGTCTTAACCTCTGTGTTATATCTTGTAGAGATTTATGTTACATGAGATTGTCTTGGTAGCTTGTAGTTTGGTCAGGAGAAAGGGGATGGAGCAGTGGTACATAGCTGCTTACTGCTCTTAAAACTGTATATTAAAGGTTTTATGGATTTTAAAAAGATTTTTTTTTAGAGGTCAAAATAAATACAATTTTAGTGGCAACAACTTTGAACTAGAGAGGTAGATGTATTAAAGCAACATAGAACCATAACTTCTAGATAATATAGTTGCCACTAGGAGATATTAGAAAGTTAGAATGTATATGTATATTTAGTTTTTCAATAATAATGAACATACACTTTCAGGAGCAAAGTATGCTTGAGAAATTGTGGCAGAAAGAATTTTAAATGTTAGTCAACGTTGTCTGTAGTTTCTTTATTAAGCTCTGAAAACACTTCCAATGCCAATTTGATTCTGAGGGCTTGGGAAGTGGGGTCTCCCTTGTGGAGCAGCTGGAGCTGACTGGGAGGGAGCCTTTCCATGGGTAATTTATTATGCCTGCCCTGCTTGCCCCAGGGAGCTTCTTCAGTGTGAAATGATGTGATTTTCGGGGGTGGGGGTGGGGGTGGGGGTGGGAGGTGGGGTGGGAGGAGGGCCACCTTCCATCAGGGAGAGAGTTGCTCACATATTACACAGGTAGCATCAGATGGACTTCGGCGCTGAACTGTACTCGTAGTGAGTCCCCGTAGTCAATGTGCAATTTCTCTAACTCTGAGAAACTCTGTAGACTCTGCCTGGGTTTTACTGGGTCAGCATAGAATGCTATCAGTTTACCTCTGTGAAATATTCAGTCAGTTGAAGAGAAACTTGGATTCCTAGTCAGGTGACTAAAAATTACCCTGACCAAAAGGATCTTTGCCAGGGGAAGAGAACGGAGCTTCCTGATTTTAGTGTGACATGTCAGTGGCCCTGTCCGACTCCCTTTTTGGGGAGATGTGTAGCTCTTCACTTTCTTACCTCAAGGCTCTGTCTAGCCATGTTAAATCTTTAGACTCAGACTCGGATGCAGTTTTTATGTTTTGCCATTCTCATTGTTCACAGCTTCATTCATCACGGCTTTCAGAACAAGTGTTGCTAAAACTCTGGGGCCTTTGACAGTTGTTCTGAGGTGATGTAATAATGGCACTTTTTATAAGATGTGTTTTCCTGGCTCTAAAGTAAATTTTTTTTTTTTTTTGAGACAGAATCTTGCTTTGTTGCCCAAACTGGAGTGTGGTGGTGCCATCTCGGCTCATCGCAACCTCCACCTCCCGGGTTCAAGCAATTCTCCTGCCTCAGCCTCCTGAGTAGCTGGGATTACAGGTGCGTGCCACCATGCTTGGCTAATTTTTATATTTTTAGTAGAGATGGGGTTTCACCATGTTAGCCAGGCTGGTCTCGAACTCCTGACCTCGTGATCTGCCCACCTCAGCCTCCCAAAGTGCTGGGATTACAGGCGTGAGCAACCCTGCCTGGCCAGTAAATTGTATTTTTTTTAATGACATCATTGAAGATCTAGATGGCATAAATTAAGACGTCTGCCATCGCATATTAGTAAGGGGACAGTCATTTTTGGAATGTGGAGAGAACACGGAACACCAGTCACCAAGTGTATGGAGGATGCAGAGCTTACCGTTCTCCACTGATGGGGGCCTCCGGAAAGAGCCGTGCCTTGTGGTTGGCCTGGCCGTCTTCCGTCCCGAGGTGAAATTCCTTTAAAACCTCAGATTCTGACCTATGTCTTTGAAGCAGCTGCTTTGTAGCATCCCTCTCTTTACTGTCCTCGTTAGGACTGTTTTGTGGTTCCGTGAAAATGTTTAGCATCCTTGCAGAATTACTTGAGAAGGGGCTGGTACCAGTGTAAAGAGTCTATTTCTGTAAAACTACGAACTTTTGCATAGGGAATTTATTCTAAGCAGGGCATAGCCATGATCCAGAGCTGCTGCTGCTCATTGCCAGTCCTTGCGGCCGGCGGTGATTGCTGGACAGAGCCTCTGTAGCCTGACTCTCATCCTTGGTGTGTCAGCCCGCAGCAGGCTGCCAGCCGTCCATGACAATCACGTGAGCTCAGCCACAGACCTCAGCTGGCGGTTTGATCCCTGGCAGTTCCCTCGAGCAGTACTGGTGAGAAGCTCCCCACATTTTCCCACTCTTAACGGTTCATTTTTCATAGTAGGAAGGGCCCTTGGCCTTCCCAGTGACTCTTCCAGAGTCTCCACCAGCACTGAGCTCAGAGGAAAGAAGAAAAGGGCCAGGAGTCAGACGTCACACCCGGGGGCTCCCCTTTCCCATGCACAAGTGTTGGCGTGCGTCAGTCCCCTTTACAGAGGGGTGGATGTGTCTGTGGAGAAGGGGCCTTCTCTTTTTCTAATTGCACTATACGTGTTCTAGCTTCAGTCTGGAGAAACTTAAGACCTCCATGGGGTCGTGATCCATAGACTTAGCAAGTCTTGCCTTATCTATGGAGCTCGATGGTGAGAATTGTGACCATTGTCTGATGTCCATAGTTCCTTCCCCCTAGATCGTTTCTTTCCACGGATTGTGTTCATCTGAACCATTTTATTTTTTATTTACCAAAGTACTGTACTTGGCTATTTGCAGTGTTTTCAAAACCAAATGTTTCTTTTTTTTGTGTTTTTAATCTTCGATACTTGGTGCAATAGAAGCTGCAAAGATGTGCCACTTTATCTATGAAATGGAGTTTTGTATACCAATAAATTCTAGTTTAAAAACAAAGTTTTAAGTTGTTTTTATTAGTATCTGACCACCGTTTGAGTGGGCAGGGAGACTGAGTGTGCTGGAAATGTCCTTTTTAGAGACGTTGTGTGGAAGGTTTGTGTGTGTGCATGTGCTGGATTGAGTGTTCTCGGTGTGTAGTCCTTTGGGATCTGACTAAGCTTAGAACAGCTGATTTTTGCTTTAGTGCAACTAAGTGCAGCCACCACACACAATGGCAGGGCCATTC